CCTGGTCGTTAAATTCACCCGCCCGGACTGTAGAGGGTGCTTCTGTAGGTGACCTTCTTTTCCGAGGAAGGTGCTTTCTATTCTTTTCTACGTAAGAGCTCCACTTATGGTGATTAAGTTTAGTGAAGTCCGGCTCCAGGAGTGCGATGAGATCAAGGTAGTCGGCCAGGTAGAGGAGTTCTTTATCGGTCGAGTAATTAACATGCGCGTCCCTGTAGGAGTGAATCTAGTGATAGAGTAGGAAAGGCCCTTTTCAGAAAGAATACAAGTAGAGTGAGTCCGAAATTACGTTCATTTGTTCTAAAAATGGTTTGAAGGGCTGTCTATTTGAGAAGGAAAATAAACGTACGTTCGACTTAAATGTTGGAAACTTCCCGGTAAAGGTCGGAAAACAATCATCCGCGCATTCGGAAAAGATTATAAAGAGGACCCGAAACCTTATTAACGAATGTAAGATAATGCCCAAGCCATGATTGTACCATAATTGCATGTTGTTGATTTGGCTTATTCTGTCCCCGAGGTTAACACTTCAGTGATGTTATGACCGACCAGTTCGACAATTGCTTTACAGTGTCCAGTATAGACATAAAAGAAAAATCAAGTACCGACTCCAGACTGTGCTTGGTTCTCTAAAGGGCACTGGAGACTCGCTAAACGACCCGTACTTCCAACGGTGGTCCGCTGGTAGTGGGAAGGGTCATTATATATTTCAGCGTTTATACTATCGCTTAGTTATAAGCAGGGTAGCTGTCAGAGATCTGCATGTAAGTCAGCTCCTAAGAATTCTCCGGACAGTATAAACGTGATGCACCCCACAGAATAAAAATCGCAACCGCTCATGTCCATATGCCCAGTGAGCTACCTATTTTGTTCCTCTCTGACTAGTCTGGCAGTTACGACTCCATATGGGAAAATAGATGAGTTGCAAGGTCACTTTTGGAGTAAATTTTGGCATAACACGTGACTTCAAATCGCGCGGAGTTTCACAGACATTTGTAGTCTAGACCAGCCGTTCTTCCAACCACAGGGCTACCGACCAAGGGTTGTTTTTATGTTCTACTGTTAAGCATGAAGGGCCCGTTATGGGTCAAAATAAGTTAGGAAGTCCGACGGAACACGCTGTCAATGGCACAAGCGCAGTGATTACACCATTTAATGATAGCGTGTCTGACATTCTTGAAACCAGGATTTACAGGGCATATCTAACCACCGAGGGTAATACAAGCCTGTCGTTCCTTTTAGTAAGTGCGTGCGCGACTGAGGGGAGGGCAGTGTAGTCCTTCATTTATTAAATCTGACACCCTAAAAATTCGTTGACTATGTTTTCTGTCAATATTTTGGTCTACCTTGCAGACTACTTGATCAGGCTGTGATCTTTCGGCCTTAAGTGTGGTTTGTACGATACAGGCAAGCGTCCGCGGTTAGCTGCGTTGGTCGCTTTGCATAGACGATCGGGACTGACTGGCGAAGGTACTACATAACTGTTCTAGGCGCCCTGGACGTTAATCGTGGATCCTGTACAGTGTAGTTGCTAGCAAATCGTAACTCGCCTTCAAATCCTAGCATTTTTCTGTTGTTTTGCTGATAGAAGAATTGGATGACGCCAATTGACCGCTGTTTATCCTTTCAGTCTGACAGGTGCTCACGGACAGTTGCTCACTTTTGGAATGCGGGATGTACCTTACTCAGAGCATCACAGAAACCTCGGGTCAGTGCCAGTTGCGGTTAGGAAAAATAATAACAACAGCTGGGAAGCATGAAGGTTCGACAACATTGAGAAAATAGGCTGACAACTATACGAACGCAGATAAATCAGCC